CCCCACGTTGGGCTTAGTTCCCCAACGCTGTGTGCAAGGCTACTAACTGCCAATCTCCTTGATGACAGGGCAGAAAGAGCCATCCTGGTGCATGAACCCCAAGCTGCTTCCCTAATGTACAGGTACCTTGCACTGAAAAGGAATTTTTTTCTGTGTAGCCAATGATGAAGTGAGACCCTGTGGGCCATTTGGGCTCCTTGAAGAAGTCCAAAGTCCTTTTCCTTTATTGTCTTCTCTCCTCCGTCTTTTTCTGGGGTTGATTAGGCTATGTGCTTAAAGAGGTGAAAAACTCAGGAGGAGTAAAGGCCACAGTGACCAAGTACACAGGGGCTGGAGCCTCTTTTCCTCTACTGGTCAGGTCTGAATAGCCAGCCCACCTTAGAGAAGAGAAGTCATCTCCCTGCTCTCTCTCCCTTCCCCTCCCCCTTCCCTCCTTCCTTTTCTCCTGGGAGCTAGCCAGGTATACTGAAGATGTAGCTTAGACTGGCTTGATCTTGACAACGGAAAAGCCCCTCTAGCACTCCCCTTTCTCTGGCACTACCTCCTCCAGCCCCTCAGATCATGGTGAGGACGTCCCGCACGGGCCTTTCCTTGAAGGTGGTAAAGGTGTGATTCAGGACTGGCCTTATGGGCAATCAGCCTCTCCCTGGACTCCCCAGAGTTCTGCTTTGAGATCTGGCACCATACATACGTCCCAACACAGTATTACTTAGTCCCACTAGCCTGTGGTTTGCCAGGCGTAAGTACCACTTGGTGTTCTCAAGAGATGGAAAGCTCGGTCACTGCCAGATTCTTAGATTCTTCGGTCTTCGGGTCATGATATCAAGGAGACAATACAGTGTACAGTAGTGGAGCCAGAACTTCCAGATTCAAAGTCCAGAACCAGCCACTTAGCAGCCACTTGGCAAATCACTCAAACTCTGTGCCTCTGTTTCCTCATCTGGAGAATGGAGACAATAAGAGTCCCTACCTCACAGGAGTGTTGTGAAAACTAAATGGGTAACAGGTGTAAAGTACTCAAAACTATGACTGGCACCGTAATAAGAACTACAGTAAACGTTTCATAATTGGGATGAAAATTGAAATTTTGTTTTAGAGGAAAACCGTTACCAACGCATTACACATAGTCAGCTGTCCAATTTCAGAGAAAGGTTTAATAGTGATTTAATACACATACATGTGTTTCACTGAGGCCCTACTTCTTTTTAAAGTAATCCCTAAAGCACCCTCCAGAACCAAACAATCCAGTATTTGAAATGTGTACCTCCCAAGGGAAGCTTCTAAAACATCACTTTGCTAAACCTGAGGACTTTTCCATACAAAATTATTTCCCCTTCTTTTCTTTCCACCCAGTTAAAGTCTAACTTTCTAGTCCCAAATCTCTTCTTTCATGAAGTCCTTTCAATAACCCCGTCTATCGGCTACTAAACCCTATTCTGTCTTGCCTGTTGGTGTAATACTAATGCCTGCCCTCTGTGTTACTCCACCATGCATGGGATGATAACCTTGCTTAGTAAAATTCACTAGCTGTGACCTCCATGTCTGCTGATGGCTCTTGTTCAAACACAGCCCTGTTGCCTAACTTTGGGTCGTGTGTGTTCAACTGTCTTACAGATAACTCCAGATACATGTCCCAAAGGAAGCTCAAACCTGACCAAATTAAACGCACAATTTTTAACCCAAATCTGTTCCATTTTTTATAACCCTCATAAAATGAATGACTTTTTAGGGAAAATATTAAGATTCTAAGCTTCCTGAAGGCAAAGACTCAGTTTTACGTTTTTGTTTCCCCAGTGCCTAGCGCAGTGTCCGACACAAGTAGGTGAGCAAGATAGGTTTAATGGTACTGAAGGGGAAACATGGCAAGATATTTAACCACACAGAACAATCAGCTTTTGCTGATTTTCCTTTAAACATTATTAGCTATCTCCAAAGTTAAACTGTAACTGAAAATATAACATCTTGACATATACAGATAGAGAATTCCATTATACATGCGCTCTAAACCAAGCTTCCTGTAAGATTTTACAGGCTCCCCAAATTTCGAAAGAGCACACAGGCCCCATTGTTGTTGAGGATAGTGATGATAGGAGTTATAACGATAGTGACCACTGATTAAGCGCTAACCACCTGCCAAGCACTGTGCTAGATGCTTCCCTATACTCTTTGCTTTACCCAGCAGGTCACTGCATCATGGCACCTCCTTCCTCAGAGGCTTCCCCTAATCACCACGTCTAAAGTAGCACCACTTGAATGTAAATTGGTGTAGCCACTATGGAGAACAGTATGGAAGTTCCTTAAAAAACTAAAAATAAAACTACCATATGATCCAGCAATCCCACTCCTGGGCATATATCTGGAGAGAAAACTCTAATTGGAAAAGATACATGCACCCCAATGTTCATAGCAGCACTATTTACAATAGCCAAGACATGGAAGCAACCTAAGTGTTCATCAACAGATGAATGGATACAGAAGATGTGGCATACACACACACACACACACACACACACACACACACACACACACAAAATGGAATACTACTCGGCCATAAAAAAGAATGAAATAATGCCATTTGCAGCAACATGGATGGACCTAGAGATTATCATACTAAGTGAAGTAAGTCAGACACAGAAAGGCAAATATATGATATCCCTTATATGAGGAATCTGAAAAAAATGATACAAATGAACTTATTTACAAAACAGAAACAGATTCACAGACATAGAAAACAAACTTATGGTTACCAAAGAGGAAGGAGGGGAGAGGTAAATTAGGAGTTTGGGATTAGCAGATACACATCACTGTATATATTATAAAATAAACAACAATTTACCATATAGCACAGGGAGCTATATTCAATATCTTGTAAGAACCTACAATGAAAAAGAATCTGAAAAAAATATGTATGTATAACTGAATTACTTTGCTGTACATCTGAAATTAACACAATATTGTAAATCAACTATACTTCAATAAAAAAATTAATGGCTTACTAATTTGTTTTCAAACCAGAAATCAACCTTCAGTTCCTCCCATCTCTTCTTTCCTCATATCTAATGAATGACCAGTCTCTTTGAAGAGTGCTTAAGCATATCCCACCACTCCAACTCTGCAGGCACCATGCCAGTTCACACCCACATAACCTTATCCAAGACTATTCCAATAGACTCCATTCTTGACCACTCCCCCAACGCTTCAATCCATCATCCAAGGCACTGCTTCCCTAACCTCAACTGGACCACTCCTCCAGAGTCTCACATGGCTTCAGTGGTATCCCTCACTCCTCCAGGTACACCCACAGCCCATTGCATGGTACACAATGTCAGCGGCAAGTCTGCCTGTTAAGTGAACAGTCTTGGTTCCCTCTCTTGCCTCCACTCAGCCATCTTCCATTGTGTACTCCAGCTCCATAGAACCAGTACAGTTTCCAAAACATCCCCTGTGCTCTCCTGTCTTTACACCTGTTCTCCTCTCATTTTGTAATGCCTTTTCTCACCTTGTCCATAGGAAAACTATTCTTAACCCATAAAATCTCGGCTCAAATGTTATGTATTTGCTTCCTTTCCTGACTATACTATGTATTGAGTACCTAGTAAGATCTAGCCAGATAACATGCTAGTCACTGGTTATATAGCCACGCCCATGAAAGCAATTCCCAAAGATGAGCTGACTTTTCCTCCATGCCAACCCTGGCCCCGATGCACCTTTCCATTACAGCAGGAACAGCATTACGTTGGAGTTACAGGTGTGTCTGTCTTTCCACTCTACCATAAGCACAATATTCGGTAAAATGTATGTTGAAAGAATGAAAAAGTACACTATGATGTCCCTTTGACTAATTTGTCCTCTGGTTTCAGTGGATTTCTCAAAGGACATAATCGAATACAAGGCAAAGTGGTCAACAGTAGAGGCTTCGGTGTCAGACAACCTCAGTTCCAAATTTGGTTCTGCTACTCATTAGCTATGTGACCTTGGACAGGCTACTTATCTTCTATAAAGTAGACACAATTTTGGTCCCTACTTCATAGGGCTGTCGTGAGGACAGCCTCACGACAGGTAAATAACTCAAAACACTACCTGGCACGAAATCAACTCTTCAATAAATGTTAACTATTATGATTTTACATTGAATACTACACACCTAAATATATAAGAAACAACAAATTGTGAAAATAAACAGAAATTAATCTCTTAGTTCAAGTAGTCACTTACTCCACAATTTTCTACCTCCCATATGATTTCCAATTGGCTTGAACCTAAAGAGTTAAACATACAGACACATAAGCATTTTTCCCACTAAGGCTTGTCATCTGAGGATGAGGGTCGGGGAAGGCAATGCTGCTGGTTAGGGATGTTAAATCAACAATTTTTTCTTACAACAAACCCCTGGCACCCTGTTCTCACCATGTCACGGCCTGTGACGACTTAGTGTCTCCCAAGCATGACCAAGCGATTAGCGGGGCTGTGTCTGTGCATCTCAACAGTAATGGGAGCTCTCTTTCCATTTGGCATGTATTGAAGCCTGAGCGCTTCACTGCCTCGTGCATTTTCAGCTTGATGAATTCATTATTCCCCATATTTTTCTCCTCCCTCCTTCAGAGAAAACCTGTCCCTAAAAATGCCAGGATTTTGCCCCAGTTTTAAGAAAACGGGTGTTTCTTTTTAAACATGCAAGCTTGACAGCAAGTCTGCAACAGCTTAGCTACACCCAGTACCACTTGAAGAAGAAGAAGAAGAAGACAGTGAAACGTTAAATTCTTTAATACAAACCCCACAGTATCACCTTTCGCTGGAAAGAAAACACGCAGGTGTCAGTTGGGTATTTTCTAAGAAAAGAGTATTTTTTCAGCTCTGAAAAGGGACAAGGCTAAAGTTATTTGTCCTAGATGAACAACGATATGCTGGTCTCAACAGAAGACCTGAGAACTTATCTCTCACTGTTTGCTTTTTTTTTTATCCCCCATAAACAAAGCCCTCCCCCACTCCCCCTGCCATACCTGGAGTGTATCCTTCCCCACTCCGGCCATACAGAGAGTGTCGGCTCATCCTGATGCTGTACTCATGGGCAGGGATGCAACTGAAGGGTGACAAGGGCAGTTTCTGCAGAGCTGTGGTTTTATAAAGTGCTTTCAGGAGAAAAGGGAAAGAAAGGAAATTATCCTAATGGAATAAAATCGTAGATAGCAGAAGAACACCTTACTTAAAACTGATCTGTGGCTTGCAAACTTATTCTTTTCAGCCATATGACTGGCTTTCAGTAGCAAGAGAATGTAGGAGAGAATTCTGTTCCACCATAAACAACAGACAAAGAGGCTCTGCTGATATTTCTGAATCAAGACCTGGAGTTTAATGAACAATAAGGACTCTGTTTTTATAATGGGTGACATCACGTGCACTGGCCTTTCCAGTGACCTGCAGATGCCTAGGTCACAATCATCATCAATGCTACCTTCACACACACAAGATAACATGAGCCATCAGAGAATTGCACTTAAGGGCATTAGGAAAATAGTTACAAGCACTGGCCCAGGAGTCAGGCCACCTGAGTCTGAAACCTGGCCAGCTCAGGGACCTTACATAGGTTGTTTAATTGTCTAAACCTCAGCTTCCTTATCTGTAAAATGGGAATGCTACTACACACCTGGTATGGAACCTGGTGATGAAACAAAGTAACACATGAAATACGCTTAGCACTTATTTAGCTATTATTAAAATTAGTATCAAACCCAGTATTGTTTTGTTTTGGTAATTTCCTGATATATCTTCAAATATCTCCTTTCTCAGGTATCATAGATCTTTCTGGATGAAAAATTTTGTTGTTGTTAACTAAAATTTTTATTTTACCCAAATATGAATAAAATAATGCCTCTCTAGTGGACAGACATCCATTTTTTAAAGAATCTACTCCAAAAAAGTTGGTAATATATGACAGCAGTGCTTTTTTGCAACAAATACCAGATTGTGACAAAAATATGTCCTTCTATAAAATAATGTCAAAGAGATCCTGCCTGCTAGTTGGGTTTCTTACACAGAGCCAAGCCTTATCCCCCAGAAGGTGAAAATATCCCAAATGGTTATCTCCTCCACTAGGCAAAAAAAAAAAAACCAAAAAAAACATATCCTGCCACGCTTCTCAGAGGCACAACCTTGCTGTGGTCACACAGAGTCTGAAGATGACGCTTCAGATCTAAATATGGCATGGTTGTGGGGAGAGGGCTGGGAGATAATAGAAGGGAGGGTGGGCGGAGCCCATGGGCTATAAATAACCAAAGAGCATGGCTACATTTAGAGCTTCCCAGTGTGTAGGGCTCCGGCAAATCTCCTGCTTTGTTTCCTGAAACAAAAGAAACAACGGCTATGTCCAGGTTTCTCTGAACCTCTGGCAGGAATATACTCTTCTGTATATTTTTTTCTTTTGAACAACTGGGAGCTCAAAATAAATCCTTACCAGCCCTTTAAGACCTTCTCATCCCCAAGCTGCATCCACACTACGTAGGGAATGACCCGCACACACTCTCCAGGCACTAGCTTCATGCAAAATAACTCCCTAAACATAAAAGGTTTATCTGGCCAAGTCTTAACAAGCCGAGTACACCTTTCAGCTGCAAGGATGTGTTCCTCTAACATCTTCAAGATGGATGCTCTTTACAGTGTTTTGGCAGAAATAAACATCTGTTTGGGGGAGGACACCTGATCACTTTAACCATTCCTATAATGGGAAAGTGCTGACTAGAGGAAACGTTTACAAAGATTCTTTGTGCAGAGAGGATGGCCCAGGTGTCTCTAAAATCGTCTGTTCAGCAAAAGCACAACCAACCAACATTGCCGCAAACCTCTGAGCTGTCTTCCTTCAAAATGTTTCTAAGCTCTACGCTACCAAAGAAAGTCCCTTAGTGAGCCCACTAGAGAATTCTGAATAATCCTGGGCTAGTCACACATAATATTTGGTGACTAATCTGCACTCCTGTCAAATGGAGAGGGGTCTATATGCATGTGGATTTGTAGAGTCCCAAGAGAAGTTCGGGTCCATAAACCACTGAATGAATTCCATTAATACATATATGTGGCTTTTTCATCTGTGACATAAATGACGTTTTTGACTTGCCTATTTCTGAATGTTCTTTATTAAATAATAAACTCAAGAAAAATTTCATACAAATCACCAGTGTCTGTAACGATTATTCTTTATTATTACAACGGCTTCCTCACCGGCAAAAGCGAGAGTCGAATTTCAAAATCATGGTGGAGTTTGCCAGGGTGGAAGCCTTTTATGACAGCTCCAGATCCCAAGGCTACTTTCACAAAACCAAATCTCTAAAAGATCACTTGGAGAGATCTGGGGACAATTCTGAACTTTAAAATGTATTTATTAGTACCAGAGGCTGATGGGGTAGGGCAAGAAGTCCTTTTGGACAGCTTTCTAAATCACCTTCTGGTTTTTCCCACCCACCGCAGGAAAGAGATTCTTGACCTCACAGATGCGCCTCCCTCAAAGAACCTCCACGCCCTGGAAGAGCCTGGTAAGACTCAGAGGAATACGCTGGAAACTTCACCCTCAGACCCAGGCTGGAGAAGGAGGAAGCAGTTTAAATTTCTCCAAACATTTCAAAGGCCATGTTGCTCCCTTGACGACTGAATTCCAAGCTGTCTGGTCCAGCTTCCTCTTCCTGCTTGGAAATATCTTTCCAGTGCTAAAGGTTTGGAACTTCTGAGTGAGTGTGTGCTTTAATAAAATATGGGGTTCCGTTACAATCCTATTTCCTCTTTAAGGGTAAAATCTAATTTCAGGGGAGAAAAGCATGTGAAGCAATCTCGGAGGTTTCTTCTAAGCTTTCCATCTAGACCCAGCAGGCGAGTCCAGGTCAAGAGTTTGATGAGGATACTCATTTGCTAGCTACCGTATTTTTGCTATATGAGCTTAAGACCAGGACCGTTAGCCAAAGCACTCCCTGGGCATAGCAGAGGCCACCTTGCCCATACCCCTTCCCTTACCAATTCCGTATAGGCTGGTTTAACTGCCATCGTCTGTAGTTTTTTGGGGTTTTTTTTTTTGGCCAAGAGGCATTCTCTGGCGGCCATGATTGTTTTTGCCTGCTTGCCTGCATGGCAGTGGTGATGTACCAGGGGATGAACATCCTATGGCAGCCCTGACCAATGAGTGACCGGAGAATTGGTGTATAAATATTCCATTTCCATCACCTATCGCAGGGATCACTCTGAGGCCTCCCAGTTTCCCAGCAGGACTGAGTTCTAGTTATAACCTCCTTGATAATGAAAATCTTTATTGGCTGCCTTCTCTTCTCTGTCTTACTTCCTCACCTTTCTACCGAGATTGCTTCTCCAATAAATTACTTGCCCTTGAATCTTTGTCTTGGCGTCTGTTTCAGTTGGAATTCAAACTAAGGCTCTGAGATAGTTAAGCCTCTAGAAAGAAAACACATTTGGAAGAAAGTAAAGACACACCCAGAGTTGCATAATTACTACTGCATTACCTATTACAACCAACTCCAGGGCTATATGTGTCTATCATTATCTGTTTGAATAAGAAACTCAGAGGGGAAAATGACTTACCAATAGGATTTAGGGATTCCATGAAAACTGTAAAGACTTTTTGGACTACCTGTGAAAGACTATTTTTTAATCTCACCCCGACTTCTGCCCACGATCCCTCATACTTGCCCTTTGCTTTCCTCACTGTAATTTTCAAGGCTCAGGCTATGCCTGTGCCCGTGGACACAGGAACTAGGTAACAAGCCCACTGTCTCCCACCTCCTGCCTGCGTTACGGGGCTCAGCTTCCCCGTCTGGCTAGCACTTGGTTCTGGCCTCATTCTTAGCTGCTGCCCTTTTTGAGAACATCACCCCTCATATCCAGTGGGTTCTGATTTGATGGCTTGACTATTCAGTTCATACCTGTCTCCTCTTCTTGGGTAACTCTTTGTGTTTGGTAACCTCGTGTTTGTACCTTTCCCTGGCTCAGATTCTGGTCTCTACACTTGGCTACTCCTGGAATCTTCCCAGCTGACCTGTGCCTTTCAGAGAGCAGGATAAGACACCTCTGGACAGCCCTCCTGTTTATCCCTAGTAATTCACCACATGCTCAAGGGAAACGTCTATTATGCATACTTATTCAGACAAAAGTGAATGAGAAGATAAACGTGCCTGCAGAACAAGGAAAAGCCTTCTATGCGTTTTTGCAGTGCTTCAAGTTTTCTCTTCTGCTAGCGTGAAGGCTAAGAGTAAACGGTAGCCCCTCAGTCATAGCCCTTTAACTGGAAGGGCAACAATCACACTTCTGCCACGAGACATGAAAGGCAGAAGTTGCAGATGGAGTCTTTCTTGTCCACCTGAGTGTCTATTGTTTGTATTTAATTACTTGTCTGAAAATGGAGGAGTGGGTAATTTCTGTCAATGAGATGAAACTAAACATCAGATATGAGTATCTTTTTATTCACAAAGAGAGATTTATAGATTTATGTCATGTATCACCCTTTCTCCAGTTAAAATCTTTGTGCAATAGGTAAAACTGTGGTTTCAAAGATACCACCAATCAAAAAACTCAACTCAAATCTTTGATAACATGTATAGATGAGTGTGTATTTAAATCCAGCACCAGATTTCCTTCATGCAGTGTCGCATTCCCAGTCATTATTCATTTATACCAAATAACTCAGCAATGGCTCACACTTTCCTTCATATTCAGAAGTAAAAGGTGTTCTTGCGGTTTTCTGCTTCCAGGCAGGATGTCTTGATTTTCATGGGTTTCTACCTGTGCTTCAGTAGTAGATGTTTACAAGACATTCTCCACTGGAAAGAGTTGGTGAGAAGAAAGTTCTTCTGTATCAGTTATGACTGAGATGTTTGAACAGTTTCCTGAAATTTACTTTCCGAGAAAGGTGGTTTGGCTTTAACCTAGATGAATGGTGTGCGCAGGGGTGAAGTTCAGGGAGAGAAGACCTATCCTGAGCCCTTTATAATGACTCTTAGTTGAAAGAGTAATTGGAGTAGCTGGATGATTAACAAGCTACGTAAATAATCTACAGTAACATTAAGAAAATCTCTTATATCCAACAATTCTCTTAAAATTATCTGAACTCACAAAGGAGTGTCACTGGAGATTTTTCCAACATGGGTCTACTCTTAGGTCAAACCATCCAGATTTTGTCCATAGTGTCAGTGAAGCATATAACCTGAAGGATAGCGTGAAAGGCAAAGACAATGTTTCTAGAACAGCAGGTATGTTGAATCAGTGTGTACCCCACACCCCGGAACATGGATGTTTTGCAATCTGCATCAATGAGTCTTATTGTTAAAGCTGAATAATAACACCCCTTATCCAAATTGCAAAAAACAAAAAAAAATTTAATAAAAGTATACATATTTTAAAACAATCAATAAAATACAACTTACTAGCCTCGTCCCTATAGTTCCTTTAACATTTGGCCATAGTACCGCTTTCGTACGATAAAGTTTAGAAAGATAGTTAATTTCATGCATCACTGCATCATGTGGTCCTACACAGAGCATCAAGTTCTCTGCCATCTAAACAAATGTTAGAAACCTTGCTCTGACTTCACAGTTTTGACTGCTCTCCTGAACCTTAAGGGTTTTACTGTTGTTACTGTTGCTGTCATCAGCCATCATTGCTACAACTCACGAATTCAGTAAATATTCATAGGGAGTCTACTCTGCACCAAGCACTGGGTATACAAATGTGAACAAGAAGTTCCTGCCCTCACAAGGCTTACACATCTAACGGGAGAGCCAGCCAAGGAATATGCGAATGCATACCTAATAGGGAACTACAGAATAGGATTGGGTAGGATAGGATAGAGTAGGGTAGGTGAATGGAACAAAATGTTCCCCTGAAGAGCAAAAAGCAGAGAAAGGAGGTAGAGTGTGAAGAGCAGTGGTTAAAAGCTGTAACCGAGCAGGACCCTATGGGGCCTTCCCAGGACGGACCCCGCCACCATGTCCTCCGCCTGCCTCTTGTCTGTAGAAGAACTTTAGCCTGCCAGGCCTTCCCCAAGTTCCAAAGAATAAATTTAGGCCGAGAAACGAGAAAATGCAGAAGCAGAGGAGAACAGTCAAGCAAGACAAATAGTTTATCCATGAAACAAAGTCCTTTAGTTCCTCCTCAAGGGCTACAGGTAATATTCTGAGCCGCATCCTTGAGGGGTTTTGCAGATACTGAAACCACCACCAGGTGGAAGAAGGTAACTGTATGCTGCCCGCAAGCACGGAGACCCCAGACCGTTTGGAACCAGAAGGTTGATGATGCTGACTCCCACCTACCTCACCACCAACCAATCAGAAGAATGTCCATGAGCTGTTCACACACCCTGAAGGCCCCTCCCTCACCCTGTCTTTAAAAACTTTTCCCTGAAAGCCATCGGGGAGTTCGGGCCTTTTAAGCACTAGGTACCTGACTCCTTGCTTGGCGCTCGGTAAGAAATACTGTACTTTCCTTCACTACAACCTGGTGTCAGTAGATTGGCTTTACTGCGTGCAGGAGGGTGTACTCAAGTTTGGTTCAGTAACAGAGTCAGTATAGGCCTCTCTGAGTAGGTGCCATGTTTGGTCCCAAACTAAACTTACAGACTCACAACAAAAATAGACTCCGGAAAGCAATCTCCAGGTGTGTTTTATGTATGCCACTTAATGCACCGCATATATGTCTCTCAGGTGTAAATCACTTTTCCCAAATCCCACTTCATTCCATCACTGAAATATGCCTAGGCTGAGATTTTTATCCCTAACTTTCCCCAGACAGGGTGTGATATGCTGCTTATAAAGGCCAAAGGATAATAGAGTGTTGCCAAGTGGATTGTAGATTCCCATGCAGTCTGGACTTTCCAGACCAAATGAATCAGCTGGCCCTGCATGACCTCAATTAAGATGGGAATGGGGGCTTCGCTTTGGCCACACATCCTAAACCACATACTGTGCTAAGTTTCAGAGCTGTCAGTCTTTGTGACTCCCCTTTAGGAATACTTAACGACAACTTGTGACATGAGATTCTGAAAGCTTTTTGAAAGTCTTACTCGCTAATGGAAAAGCCTCTTACATATTTTATAGAACTAAACAAACATCAAAGTTAACACTCAAATGCAACTTGTTTTTTCTAAACTCTACAGAGCCTTGTCAGCATATCAACTCTCCTGCAGGTTCGAGTCAAACAAAGAGTGCATGAGTCCTGAATTTTTAGGGAAAATATTAAGATTCTAAGCTTCCTGAAGGCAAAGACTCAGTTTTACGTTTTTGTTTCCCCCGTGCCTAGCGCAGTGTCCGACACAAGTAGGTGAGCAAGATAGGTTTAATGGTACTGAAGGGGAAACATGGCAAGATATTTAACCACACAGAACAGTTTTTGCTGATTTTCCTTTCAACATTATTAGCTATCTCCAAAGTTAAATGGTAACTGAAAATAAAACATATTGATATATACAGATAGAGAATTCCATTGTACATGAGCTCTAAACCAAGCTTCCTGTAAGACTTTACAGGCTCCCCAAATTTCGAAAGAGCACACAGGCCCCATTGTTATTGAGGATAATGATGGTAGGAGTTATAACGATAGTGACCACTGATTAAGCGCTAACCACCTGCCAAGCACTGTGCTAGATGCTTCCCTATACTCTTTGCTTTACCCAGCAGGTCACTGCATCATGGCACCTCCTTCCTCAGAGGCTTCCCCTAATCACCACGTCTAAAAGTAGCACCACTTGAATGTAAATTGGTGTAGCCACTATGGAGAACAGTATGGAAGTTCCTTAAAAAACTAAAAATAGAGTTACCATATGGTCCAGAAATCCCACTCCTGGGCATATATCTGGAGAAAACTCTATTTGGAAAAGATACACGCACCCCAATGTTCATAGCAGCACTATTCACAATAGCCAAGACATGGAAGCAACCTAAATGGCCATCGACAGATGAATGGATAAAGAAGATGTTGTACACATATACCATGGAATATTACTCAGCCATAAAGAAGAAATGAAATAATGCCATCTGCAGCAACATGGATGGACCTAGAGATTACCATCCTAAGTGAAATAAGTTGAGAGAGAAATACAAATGCCATATGCTATCTCTTATATGTGGAATCTAAAATAGGGCACGAATGAACTTATTTACAAAACAGAAACAGACTCACAGACATAGAAAACAAACTTATGGTTATCAAAGGGGAAAAGGGGGAGAGGGATAAATTAGGAGTTTGGGATTAGCAAATACAAACTACTATATATAAAATAGATAACAAAGTCCTACTGTACAGCACAGGGAATTATATTCAATATCTTTTAATAAACTGTAATGGAAAAGAATATGAAAAAGAATATATATGTATAACTGAATCACTTTGCTGTATACCAGAAACTAACACAACATTGTAAATCAATTATACTTCAAAGAAATAAATTAAAAAAAAATAAAGTAGCACCACTCTTTGGTTCCTCTTAGTCCTTACCTTGCTTTATCACCCACCTGCTGATATTGTAAATATTTATTTGTTCAATTGTTTCTTAACTCTAGCTCTACCCACTAGAATGTGAGTTCCAGGAGAGCAGTGACTTCATACTATTCACTCTTGGTTCTTTAGCAGTTTAGTAGAGCTCAATGAACAGTTGATTAGTGAATGAATGTATGAATGATTTCATTCACCCTTTGAGACAACTCTGCAAATTAGTTATGTTTAGACCCAAGAGACTGCAACTATATTTCCCTAAGTCCCACGCTCTTCTTGGTACCCCATACCGATACACGTTGGACAAACAAACATGGTGAGGGAAAGCCATCCCTCCCTCCCCCCACCCCTGCTTCTCCTACCTTTCCTCGGTAGGACCAAAGTCTCCCAGTTCTGTCCTCCCTGGCACATTCTCAGAGGAAGGCAATGAGCAAAGTCGACACAGAGTAACCATTTCCCATGCTACTTTTATATAATGTATTTGTAACCCAAGAAGGAAAGGTTATATCACTTGGAGTCTGGGAGCAGAGATCGTCAGATTTATGAGTCCTCTCTGAGTCACCCGAAGCATCACTGCAGCACAGACCTGGCCTAAGGCATGAACCGGAATCGGGGAAGTTGATTTCTGTGAACTCACCGGGAGATGATGACGGCACATCCAAGGTTAAGGTGACGGATTTTCCGGTACCGAAGTCTTGCCCATTTATATCCACGACGCTGCATCTCTGAGGTACCCTGTTGAATGACTCACTCCTGGCTACGTTTGTGCCTCAAAAAATATTGGGTAGAGACTGTGCTCACTCTGGCTCCAGTTCCACAATGATCTCACTCAGGCTCCTGGTCCATAATGATGAGGTTCTGCCTGAATTATAACGTACTGCAGATTTTCAGTTACTTCTTTCAGAAAAATGGGCTTTTATCTTCCTTATCTTTTCAATTTTATCTCCAGGTAAATATAGCTTTTTCTCCAATATATTTTTATTTCAGGAGGATGATGGATGCAAACAGGAGCCAATGTTTTAATTGCTCTAATACAATGAATCATCTCTATCATGCGCATTTTACTTCTTGCAAAGATTTTTTTTTTCTTAAATCTGTAAGTGCATTTCTGCGAGTTCTGAAATGGAAGCGTATCTCTGAGCTTGCTGACTACATTTCCCATAGTAGGCTATTTAAATGTATCTTTAAAGTGGATTACACATCTCAGGGGACTGGTAATGGGCTATGGAGTCACCTACTTCGGAGTCACCAGTTCACATTTAGTCCAGACTTCCGGCAGTGAACAAAAATCATTGTAACTGACCACAGTTTGGCTTTCTTTTGTGGAAATGGATCAGTGGCTCCCCTCCGGTTCCCAGTTCCTAGTTCTCCACAGCACAGGGACCACCAGCATCTCAAGGCATTAAGTGAGATCCTCTCAGTGATGGGGGAACCGGAAGAGAAGCATCTGGGTAGAGACACACAGACACACTCACATGCACACTGTGGATGCACATATATAAACACACGTGTGCACACATCCACACATCAACACACACCCATACACACATACTGGTACAACTATTTTGACCGAACTCATCCATAAGGAACAGTAAGAAACATATTGTAACCACTGATCTCCCAACACTCAATTCAATCCAAACTGTTCCAACAACTTAAGAATGCGCCTACACCGCCTGGGGTCCTGCTCTTGGTGTGCAGGATTTCTGCAAACAGATGAGAGCACCTTCGGAAGCCAGCCTGGCTGTTCACTGTGATGAAACACAACATGACATTAGTCTTCAGGGATGTCCATCTGGAAGCTTTTAGGAACAAGCCTGCACTTAAAGATCAAAGACAACTGAGATGACTCTTCAGAAATACTACCTTTCCTCAGAACCCAGGAGACTGAATGCCGTTCTTCCCCGCTGCCCCTCCTTCATCTCTTGCCTCCAACATATCATCACGGCTTGTCCATCTCCACTCTTCATACACCATGAATCCATCACTTATTCTCACCATCATCATCACCCTCTTAGGGACCACCATCACTCCCCTTGAATACTGCAACCTTCCCCTGTGTCCTTGTCTGAGATGTTTACTCCACGCCTTCTCTGTGAACATTCCAGATCACCACTGCCCTGTTAAAACCCTTCAGTGGCTCCCCGTTGCTTCATATCGAGGTCCGTACTCCTAGCACAGCCAATAAGACCTTGATGATTTCACTGCCATGGCCTCCTTCTCCGTGTTCACATCACAGAAACCATAGACCCTAGCCATGTTGTTCCTGTGATGCTTCCATCAACCAGGTCTGCATTGCTGCCTTCCACCATGTTTCCTCTTTACTATTAAATCATCCTTCTTGACTCAGCATAACTGTCATTTCTTCCCAGGGGTGTAACCTCAGCCTTCCAAGTTCTGGGTTGGGTGCCTTCATATAGCCCTATCATGTCGCTCACCACACTACAGCAGAATATTATCCCCTTTAGGAGAAGCTGAGTCTTGTGCACTGTTGAATCCCTAGTCACTAATATGGTACCTGGAGTCTATTTTGGTGAATAAATAAATGAGTTCAGAATTTTAAGAATGGCTTATAGCATTTTCTCTCTTTCATGACTACATTCCTCCTATCTTTTTTGTTCTATTATAAACCAACCTTGTATCCTGAGCACATTCTATTCTTATTCTTTTTTTTTAACCTTGGTATGGACCTCTCTGCATATAAAGCAGAGAACAACAGAAATAGAGAGGGGAACTCCACTCCAAGCCAGGATTCAAAAGGTAGGTTAGGGCTTCCCTGGGGGCGCAGTGGTTGGGAGTCCGCCTGCCGATGCAGGGGATGCGGGTTCGTGCCCCGATCCGGGAGGATCCCACATGCCGCGGAGCAGCTGGGCCCGTGGGCCATGGCCGCTGGGCCTGCGCGTCCGGCGCCTGTGCTCCGCAACGGGAGAGGCCACAACAGTGAGAGGCCCGCGTACCGCAAAAAAAAAAAAAAAAAAAAAAAAAGGTAGGTTACTAAGGAAAATCAAAGGCTAGCCTTTTCGGGAGGGCTTTTATTTACCTTTTTTTTTTTTTCTAAGGACAGTTTATCCTGTGCTTGAAGAGCTTTAGGCAAGATCTTACCTGAAGATGATGGAATCAATTGGATCACTGTTTGTTATAAACAAATCTAAGCCAGGTTTTGAAATGAAGGTGAAGAGCCTAGAATTATTGCTTACATGACTATGTCTCTGCTTCTTTGGACCTGACAGAGAAGGAAAAAAAGGAAACGAGAAGAAACAGGTAGATAAGGAGACGATAGGATATATTTCTAAAAGGAGAGTATAAGAAATATATAGATGCAGAGGATTGGAAGTAGAAATGATAACTACTAAAGGAGCTCAAGGAAAGAAAGTGGGAAGCATAGAGACAGCAAGGAGAAGAGTAAAAGCAGATGAGCGGGAGAGGTAATACCCAAGGGAAAAAAAAGAGTGAAAATCAAAAGATATGAACAGATAAATCAGAGGAGAAGAAGTGAAAAAGAATAGGCAAGAAGAAAAGAGGAGACAGTGTAATATGGTAATTTGCTTAGAGTAGGGGCCTTACTTTGACAGTTGAATAAATCAATGAATGAATGAGAAATAAGAAGAAGTCAAGGAGTATCAAAAAAGCTTAAAATATTTGGACTTTGATTTCCAATCTATCATGTTATGTATTCACTACACCCCCAAAGTACTGGGCCCATCCACAGCCCAGTCAACCTAGAGCAAAACTCGATTTTATATTAATGTTAAGAATAGAATGTGATTAGAATGCCGATCATTCATTCATTCAACCAACAATCACCAAGCACTCTCAGCGGCCAGACCCTGTATTAGGTGTGAAGCACCTGACTGTCAGACACATCACCTCTGCCCCCAGGGAGATTGCAAAAGAAAGCACTAAATCTCTTTTCAAATTGGAAAGAATCTTCTACTTTATACTGCACAGCCTACATAATCTGTGAAAAAAAAATATATATCAGAATCAAAAGTAATAGTGTGGCTTGGCCAAAAGCCACAGGAAATGGGGGCGTCTTTCTCAACAGAATTAGATGACATTATAACATGTGTCCATTTAGAATGGAACTGCAAATCATAAAAATGCCAAAAACATGGAGAAGAAAAACATTAAAGGAGCTAACAGAAGAATATTAAAGACAGACGTTATTAAAGAGAGAAAAGCATAATAAATACAGGGTACTTGAAATTCTCTTTGTCATAGGGCTAGACTGCAGTGTGACTCCCAATCCCATTAAGGTCATTCTAAATTGAGTCCCTTGGTATAATGAGTCCCTCTTGATAACAGCAAAACACATGGCCTCTCAAGAGCTCCTGGAAGGGGCCCTGCAGAGCCGGCCACCAGGAGGATATTCACGGAGGAAGGCAGTGGCTACTTCACGTGGCAGCCCTGCAGACAGAAACACAGACCCACGTCCCACTCTTCCTTCCCAGATCCTCAGCACAGGAGTAAACAGCATCCCTTTGCTGTTCACCAGGAGACAGAAACCAGAGCTTTAAGATGCATATTTCAGTAACAAGGTCCTGCTGAATCCCCAACTTTTGACATTTGCTGGCTATAAATGTCTTAGACTTGAAGAGTTGTGATATTACATTAGAGGTTTCCTGGAAAAAATACTCTTGACTATTTTATATTTGGACTACAAGTTGTAGCTTCCTATTTAATTTGAATAAAAGAGAGAATAATGTATACAATTTCCCCACTGAGGTCATCTTTCCTCATACACTTTGGATGATTCGAAACAGAAAGGAGTTTCGAATAAGGACAGAGGGATTCCAGATACATTTTATAAGCAACACCACCCTCCTCCACCATACAAAATGCTAGCAAATTTGAGGGACATACACTATAAGTCAGTGGGACATCCAAGAAACCCAAATTATTACATTACCATTTTCCTGGACCCCATTAACCTTGAGAGAACTGTAAAGGTCACAAGACTGCATGGCTAAATAGCATTCAGCAATTTCTCTAAAAATGTAAAACCAATAGCCCTTCCACCCATGCTCTTTTTTTTTTTAATCACTAAAGGTATTTGCATGAAAACAGGATCTTTGTTTCCTAAGGATTGATCCCCTTGCTACTTACTGCTGCTGCATCTCCACCTTGGTGGCATCAGAGCTCCTGCTAAAGAGCTAATTGTAGTATCACAAAGGATTGTGATTTCAAGTGGAAGCAGCTAACCTCTTATGAAACAAAGACCCTGTTTTCAAGCAACTGTTTTTTACAATAAAATGCAAGAAAATCTAAATATCTAAAATGTAAAATAGATGATTTATTGAAGAATAGATACTAATATTGTCTATGACTCTCTACTTCTTAAAGCTGCAGGAAAAATTGAGGCAAAGAAAAAAAAAGAAAGAGACTAAAAATGAACTTTCAGATGTTAACAACATGCTTTTTCTACACCTTTGCCAGTGTTGTTTGCCTACCAATGTGGGACAATTATATTCTTATTATTTTACTATGCTAACCTCATTTCACTGAGCAATATGGGTCTAAAATTAGGTTTAAAAATGGCATATTTTATCTAGACACTACTTCGTTTTTGTAACTATAAAGCCACTTACAATAATTTCTATTTTCCATTTTCCCTATGTAATTTAGCATTTTGCTCACATTTTACTATTTATATTATGACAACTGAGCATCAGTTTTCAGCGATTTTAGCCTCAGCAGTGTGTACAGATGAGTATACTCCTAATCACTCTGTAAGAGGTAAGTAGAAATATTCCTTCCTACGGCATGAAATGAACACCTAGATCTCATAATCTGTTTCATAAGAAAAATATAAATGGATTTAGAATGCATCCTGATAAATATATATAATTTATGGAAAATACATGAGAAAAATGTCAAATGACCGCTAAGAGAACCTAGGTGATATCCAGCCTTTGAAGCCTATTTCAGGAAAGATAACCAAACGTGGACATTCCCGCTTACATGCTTTGTATGAACCCTGAACCGTGGGCTGGAGCCAGGGTGCTGCTTCCTCTCCTATGGGCTGCTCAAATAATCATGCACAGCATGGCCCCATTACCTGTGATTATTTGTGACTCTCTCCTGTGGGTGGGCACAACGTGTCAGAAAAGAGAAAGCTGTGGATAGGACTCTTGTGTGAACTATTCAGGTTTGCCCTCTCTGGACCTCACAGCCCCAGTAACTGCATAAGAATGCCCAGATCTTGGATAAAGAAAAGATGAGGGGACGGTCAGAGCTGGAACGGGGTTCACACCTCATCATTATTAAAAAATTAAAAGAAAGCTGGATCAAATGCGCTTGCCGTATCAACAGCATAGTTGAGGTATGTAAAGATACTATGCTGCGTACTGTCTTTAAAGACGTTTAAGTCAGAAGAGCCACTATTGAACACTTAAACGTGAAAAACTCTGCTTGGTGCTTTACATTAACTCACATTTAAAAATAACCTTCCAAGGTATTCTTATCTCATGTCAGCTCTTGCA